CCATGCCCAGGGAACAATGTTTATGCATGACATCATGAGTCCCAGGAGTTGTGATAGGGACACAATGGACGCAAACTGGTTCACTCTTGCCTCCCGTGCACGGCTGATGATGTTGCGTCTGCGGTCCGGTGACAGGAACACATGACAACAGTCGGAGTCTATGAGTGCTCCTAGATGTAGGATGCGGAGCGCAGGAGTCAGCTGACGGGTTCACCAAGAACCCGTGTTTCTGCAAGGTGGAGATGGTGACCTGCATGTCTCTGAACGCCTGGTTGGTGGACGCTGATTGAATCAAGATGTCGTCTAGGTAACAGAGAAGACATATTGGGCGTGAGCGCAGATGGGCCACTACCACCACCAATATCTTCATGAAAGTCCTTGGTGCTGATGAAAGTCCGAACGGCAGAGCTCTGTATTGGTACTGCTTGCTGTTGTAATGAAACCTGAGGAACTTCTTGTGGGATCTGTGTATCGGAATGTGCAGATAAGCCTCCTTCAGGTCGATGGAGGTCAACCTGTCCCCTCGCCTGATGCAACCCAGAATGGTCTGTAAGGATTGCATCTTGAAACGCTTGTAGGCCAGATGCAGATTTAGGTTTTTGAGGTCCAAAATCGCCCTTCACCTCCCAGAGCTTTTGGAGATAAGGAAAAGAATGGAGTAGAACCCCCTTTTTTCCTGCTCTATGGGAACTGGTTCTATGGCATTTATCTGGGGGAGATATAAAATCTCCACCTGCATGCATTGTCTTTTGGGGAGGGAGGAGGAAACTGGACAGCGGATGAAGGTTTGTAGGGGAAGGGAGAGGAATTCCAAGGTCAGGCCCTGCCTGATTGTGTTCAGAACCCAGGCGTCCATTGTGATCAACTCCCATTGGGTGGAGTAAAGTTGGAGACGGCCGGCTATGGGAGGATCCTGTTGGTGGTCACTTGGACCTACGGTAGGAGCGGTTGTTTGAACCACCACGAAAGGTGAGTCGGAAGGACTGCTGCTGTTGACCCTTATCTTTGAAAGATGACCTGTCCTGGCTACGGTCATTGCCCTGGGCGTAAGGTCTCTGATAGGAGGGACCCGCACCCGAGTTGTCATTCCCCCAAAAGGACTGCTTCTGACAAAAGGAATTGTTCTTCCTGTCAGCCTTCCAGACAGTAGATGGAAGCATCTTCCATTTATCCTTGGTCTTGATTAGGAATTTGTCTAATGTGTCACCAAACAATTGTCCTCCCTTAAAGGGAGCAGAAGCAAGCTTCCATTTCGACTTCACGTCTGCCTGCCAGTGACGAAGCCACAACAGACGTCGTGAGGTCACACTTGAAGCCAGAGCCCGGGATATAAATTTTGCAGCATTCAGTGAAGCATCAGCCGAATACTCCACAGCTGCTATAATTTTGTTAAGGTCATGCATCCATCTGGAACCCTCTGAGGGGGGATTCGCTCTCAACTGCCTCAGCCAAAGCAGTGAGGCTCTAGTAAAGAACGAAGCCGCTGTAGAAGCTTTAATGGACCATGCGGCCGCCTGGTGGGTCTTGTGACATGCTATCTCAGCCTTTTTGTCCTTGCCTTGAGCCCCTCAAGGAAGTCAGCCGGTAGGATGGAATTGGAAGTGAGAGATATCACTGGAGCCTCCAACTGTGGAACTTTCAAGATATCTTCCAAATTATTCTCCACAAAATAGAGGTGTTTGTCAGCCCCACTAGGGTTGGTCAGTGATCCAGGCTGCGCCCACTGGTGCTGGATCATGTTCACAAACAGCTCAGGCATAGGAACCAGGTCCTGCGCAGGAACAGTTTCTCTGAATAGTCCCTGTTTAGGATCCTGGGTCCCAGAGGGGGACCTGGGTGGAGGCCTTCGCCTTGTGCAATATTGCTTTAAAGAGGGAAAGCCTGAATAATCCAGTGAAGGCAGGTTTATCTGGGATAGGAGTCTCGTCTTCTGAGAAATCCTGTTCCCCAATGTTATCCTCCTCTAATACAGACTCCTCCGTGGCAATGGAGGTGCCTGGGGAAGGAAGTCCCTGAGTTTGCCCACTCTAGCCAGGCTTGTGAATAGATTTGGCAGAGGAGCTTCTGGCAGCCTGCTACTTTCTAGTCATTCCAGAAGCAATGCCCCTCTCAATGGCCTGCTCAATAACCCTCTGCATTTCAACAGACAGATTGGGCCCCTGATCTTCAGCAGGCTGGGGTCTACTTTCCCTCCCCGTCTGAGTCCCCTAAGGGATCAGGATTCTCCTCCAGACTTAAAGGGACAGGATTTCTCAATCATTGAGGAGGAATCCAGATAACCCAGAGAGGCTGCAGGAGAGGGAGCCTGGGATTCCTCATCCTCCAATGAAGGAGATATGGTCCTTGGTGGAGGCGACTGGGAGGGAGGATCCTGCCCCTGAGGTAAAGGACTTGAATCATGAGAAGGTTGCCCAGAGGCTAGGGATAGCCTTCGGACCCTTTCAAAAGTCTTCTCTGGGGCTTTATGTCTGTGGGCCTCAGCTCTAGATAGGACCTTGCTGCCTCTGGGATTAGGGATCCCCTTTCCCTTGGTGCCCTTACTGCCCTGTTCCACCACAGGAGGGTCTGGCCTACAGCATTTTGGCGAAGAGGCAGGATGTTCCTCTGGCGCCCTCTTGCCACTGTCAGCCATGATGATCTTCAACCGGAACGGATCTTCACGGCCCTTCAGGGAGACTCTGCAGGCAGTAGGCTGGCACCAGCACAAGCTGGGAGCTGCTGTGCGTTGCGCAGATATGTCCGTGAGACAGGATTATGACCATGTGGCCAAAACTTTCCTAGGCTGCAATAGAGATGGTCCAGAGGAAGGAGGCCTTGCTGGAGCTCCGAACAAAGGCCAGAAACTCCCTTGTGGCAATTTGCAGGCTGGGAGGAAAAGCGCAGCAACTCCAATTGGCCGGCAGCGAAAAGCGCATGAAAAGCACTTCCAAAATGGCCGCCGTGCTTCTCGGACACTCAGGGAACTGTCAGGCATAAACCGGAGCCTCCGCCAAGGATTCCGGCAGCTGCAGATGAAGAAGAAGACAGCCAGGAAAAAGGGAAGCCTCCTACCTTCCCCCGCGTTTGCCAGCAGCTGCTGGACAAACGCCCCCACGATCGCAGGCTCCACAGTGATGAGGAGCCTGGAAGTCTGAAAGCCTCACCAGCGATTTTTAAAATGGCTCAAAGTTTACCTAACACTATTTCTCAGCAAACGACAAAAATAAGAAAAAGCTAAGCTAACTAATGGAGAGTCGCAGTCTATTCGCACAAGAACTGAGGAGCTCCCCAAAACGTGTCCAAATTGGGCTGGACTGAGTTTTTGAACTGAACCTCAATGAGGAGAGGAGGCGTGGCTAAGAATTTCAACTGAGTTCTTGGGTGAATAGACAGAATTTAACCCATGCTTGGACTCTCCAAGCAGCGCACAGGAGAAATGAAACTTTTCAAAGAGAAAGCCTTTAAGAAAGCCCAGGTGCCATTTAATTTAGATAACTTATTTACATATGCAAATCATCACAGCTTGTGAATCACTAAGTGAAAAAGGTTCTATTGTAACAACATGCTTAATGATTGAGTGTCAAAAAACCACTAAAGTTTAGGAAGAGCCGCCCCCTATTTTGCCAAAAATACAATAAAACTTTAGAAACAACATCTGAACCATACCCAGACTTCAAAAAAAAATTGAAATGGAATATGAACGTCATACTCAATAATCAGCATTCCTGTATGGAAAATGCTGAATGTCTTTGGCTATATAAATGCTGAATTTTTGTCAAAAAGGCTGGCCCTTTCATCCAAAATGTTTATACAATTCTCAAGGAAATCATATTTAACTACAAAGACTTTATTTCCAGTTAACTTACTGATGAAGAGACAAGAAAACCAATGTGAACATTTTACAGAAGTCAGTAAAATACACTATTTGATTAGTATTTCATCAGTCAGAAAAGAACAATCATATTCTTTAATTGTTAGGTAATATTGGATGTTCCCCAATAGCAATGCTAAACAAAGTAAAATATGTCAATTTTTAAAAAGATTTATCAATATTTTCTTTTCCTTTATCCTCTTACTGTATATTATGGCACTCTACTAATAAAAGGATTTTTTTGTCTGGAAGAATAAAAAAAAGTCTATAGCTTGAAGGCTTCAAAATGAATTAGAGCCAAACTGGTCACTATCATAACGTTATTTATTGATTGTGGCAAAACATGCCTCAGTTCTCTGAGGAATGGAAACTGGCTATCAAGAGCATGTGTAACAGGATGTTAGATGTATTATTTGTGCAAGTACTTATGAATCAATAGTAACAGTTAAAAAAAAAGGAATATCTATTGGATTTAAGTTTAGAACCAGGCATGTTATGTCGTCCTAGTCTCAAAGGAAATGCTGAAACGTGGTCTCTGAGACCATGTACTTGGTTTCATGCAACCTAAAAGAAAAAATATCTTTTCCTGCACTGCAACAGATGAGGAGCATAAGAACTGTATACATAATATACAACATATAATTGAGAGGGAGAGTCACATGTTCTTTTAAAGATGTATAGATCTGGCCTGATACACTTGGCTAATATTGGTATAATTTTGTTTTACACAGAATTCTTGTCATATTTTTATACTTTATTTCAAGTTTCTAGGACTTATATTTTTCTGGTTTTTATTTATCTTTCTTTCTGTAGGTTCATTTTTTAAACTTTTCCTTTTCAGAAGTATTCTATCTGTTCTGCCCTTGTCTAAATGACTACAAACACAAGACCTAGTTGCCTAACCCCTATATGCAGTGTAAACAGCTGTCAATTACTGCCAGATGATTCACACGTATTAACACATACTAAGGAATTAAGATGTAAAAACTGAATATAAATTAACTAACTTATTAAAGTATTATCGTCCTTAATCAATGTTTGGACTTTGGGGCTTTATTATCATACTATAAATCAGCCATTAAACAAAGAGAGACAATTGTCACTCCTATTATAGGCTAAATGTATGTTACTCTTGAAGCATCACACTTACTTGAACAAATTCTCTAGTGGTGAAGTTAAAACAAGAGCAGCTGCAAGTAAATTATTGCAGTATCTGTGGATATTATAAATACGAGGATTTCTGTCTTTATGTGGATCTAAAAGTTCTTGCATGGAACCACAAACTGACCACAGCATGTTTTCACAGGTCATCAAGATTGCTGTGACATCTGTTCTGTAAGAGGTAAAATAAAAACTCTGAAAATAATCTAGCAATATAATACAATCCATAATCATGACTTATTTGCCATATTACAAAAGATATACTTTTTACTCTTAAAATTATCAGGATTCTTCGGCAAAAGTAAAGTAAATGGTTATAAGTAGCCCTTGACTTACAAACAATTGTTTAGTGACCAAAGTTACAACAGCACTGAAAAAAGTGGCTTCTGACTCCTTTTCTCACTTATTATGACCACTGGGATGCTACACAAATGCAGCATCTCAGTGGTCACGTGATCAAAATTCAGATGTTTGGTAACTGGCAAAATTCACTTAACAACTGTCTTGCTTAGCAATGGAAATTTTGGCTCAGTTGTGGTTGTAAGTTGAAGGCTATCTGTATAATAATATAGTAGAAGAGACCCAGCTTATAAAGCAACGTCTCCAGAAAAAAAAAAAAAGAACTAGAATCATACTCAGACTTACTTCAAACAATTCACTCGCAAAATGTAATTAATATAGTCTCTAATATTTGGTCTACACACATGGATCACCTCACTCCATAAATATGAAAGCAATTTTCTTATATACATGCTGAGTTCTGGATCAGAATTATTGTTTGCTACATTTATTAGGTAACATTTAGTTTTTATTGTAAAAGCACATTCAACAATTTAACTTGCCTATTCTGTATATGTTGTCAGCTGAAGCTGTTGCAATGAATGCAATGAACACATTTACATTTAAAATCTGTTCAGTAATAAATGTCATTTCTTATCACTGCCTCTCAAAATTTTTCAAAGCCAATACTAAATATAAATATGACACGTAATATTTATGGATTTCACCTACACATTTTAAATTATTTAATTCTAAGTTTGCTTTGCAATTTTAAGCAGTATTTAAAAGCAGTATTTAAAAATATTTTCATATGCATTTTTTCCTTCTTCTATTTCCTTCTTCTTCTTTCAATGTTATCTGTTTCCTCATAGAACACAGTACTATGTTAGGTTGCCCACCTCTGGCTGCCACAAGAGTAACTTGCAATTAAAAGACAGTCAGACCATATACTTAGATGACAAACTATATCTCACTGATATAACTGGCAAAGGCTTTATTTCAAAACAGCAAACATGAGAGCAAAAGTACGTATCTGCAATCATCTCTTTAAAAAGACTGAGTGATTGTAATATGTACCCTGATACAGAAACATCAGCTGCTGCCTGGGATTGAACTCTCAACCTTCTGAGTAGGAAGCAAGTGTCTTCACCGCTAGGCCACCATGTTGCTCAGCTTTAGCATACAATAAGCATATATTCATTTGAATGAGCCGAGGTGGCGCAGTGGTTAAATGCAGCACTGCAGGCTACTGCTAGATCAGCAGTTCAGCGGTTCAAATCTCACCGGCTCAGGGTTGA